TATGAATCAATATCAAAATATCTTGGATCTTATTCGTGTTTGTTCCTAATTTAAACATTGGCAGTAATACCGGGAAAGGGGAACATGTTAAAGAAAAGGGACCTAAATATAATTTCATATTTTTTTCCGGTTCGTAACGAAGCATGTAACCAATCAACGATGAAAATGTCTTTCCGTTTTGTTTTGTTTTTTGTTTGTTTTTAAATACGATTGCATTAGTTTAAATATAAAATCATGCTGCATATCTTAAACTCATATTTTGGGTATGTCCTCTATGTACTCCATCTCGTATTAAACACCATGATATATGCAGGTAGCTACTCGGCCGATGGAACGACAGAACAGGCATTTATTATAATTGCATTTTATCCGAAAAAGACGTTTCCATACAATTTTGACAAATTCACTCCACAATCCACAATCTCTCCCTCTCATTGCGAATCGTATTTACCTACAAAAACCAAGCGCGCCACCCAACCTGAACTCCTTTTAGGAAGCAGGAGGTGTACCAGCCCGTCTATGCTTCAGGTTTTTGTTTTTTGTTTTGCTGGGGTTTCTATACAACAAACATAAATACGATTCCCATATATTCTCAATGTATGCACATAACATTCCATATGAAATAAATTTAACTTCAATTTAGATTTAAAACCTGTACGTTCCGTCTACGTCCGAAGCTAGAATGACACAATAACAACCACCCGTGTCCTACACCACACACATGCTCCAACCTCATTGGTCAATACCAAATCGCACCAATTACTTGCCCTAATACGATCCTCACGTACCTATAGGACAAATATTACGCGCTATTCTCCGAAACGCGCGCAAATTTAATTCATATCATATGCCTTAGAATGGGGTACTTATGATAAGTCGATACAGGAAAACCCCGTTTAGACTTTTGTAAGAAACATACTTTGTGTAAATAAATCTGCGTAGTGCATAGTTTACATAGAGGTTGGGCGACCGGCTCTAGGAATTTTTAGATATTGGCATAAATTGTTTAATTCTGATATTTGTATCTCTAAGGCTGCATACATAGAAACAAAAGGACAATACAAAGCAGAATGGGCTGGTATTTCTAAAAGAAATATTATTTGAACTGGTATTCATTCCATATTCACCTGTTCTCTTGAATTAAGCAAAGAATAGATTATCAAGATAAGCATGTTTTGTTTAATAACTGCATAGTAAATGTCACCCCAGTAAATGACGTTGTGTTTCTGCACATAACCTAGCGTATGTGTTTAAAGGAAATGGATGTTTGACAACAAAGTCTGAGAATATAAATTGAGTTATGAAATGTTATTATTGAAGCTAGCAAACGTAAAATTCCACAAATATAGCATGATTTAACACAACTAACGATACGTACTTTGTAACTGTCTATCTATATGTATTTCTTGTTTTCATTAGAGAGTATTTAATTGTATAAGATATAGCTTACAATAGGAGAAGGAACAACAGACAAAACATGTTACCTTGTGCTTTCAAATCTGACCGCTTTAACTTTCGCTCAGTAGACTATATGTTAAGTGTTATTTCAAACGTAGAATATATTTCATGATAGATATACCTGCATTTTCACCTGTGGTTTTAAGTACACATGGTCACCAGGAGTGATTTATTATACCGATCAAAACATATACATTTCAAAGACAATGTAGCACCCTCCATAGCCTCACTTCATCAGGTGACTAATAACCAATGTAGCACCCCCCATAGCCTCACTTCATCAGGTGACTAATAACCAATGTAGCTCCCCCCATAGCCTCACTTCATCAGGTGACTAATAACCAATGTAGCCCCCCCCATAGCCTCACTTCATCAGGTGACTAATAACCAATGTAGCCCCCCCCATAGCCTCACTTCATCAGGTGACTAATAACCTATGTAGCACCCCCCATAGCCTCACTTCATCAGGTGATTAATAACCAATGTAGCACCCCCCATAGCCTCACTTCATCTGGTGACTAATAACCAATGTAGCACCCCCCATCGCCTCACTTCATCAGGTGACTAATAACCAATGTAGCCCCCCCCATAGCCTCACTTCATCAGGTGACTAATAACCAACGTAGCACCCCCCATAGCCTCACTTCACCAGGTGACCAATAACCAATGTAGCACCCCCCATAGCCTCACTTCACCAGGTGACTAATAACCAACGTTAGCATAAAAGCCTGGCGTGTACATACTTTTTATTAGAATTGTTTTTACTATACATAATATATTATTTGTAAGGGTTTCCCTTGTTCAATAAAAAGAAAAACAGTTAAATCATAATTATTATTTATGACAAAAAATAAATAAAGTTAAATTGCCAAAATGCTCGCCTAAACTTCATGTACATGTCAAGTTCTGTATTACCTCAAGTCTTTCGACTCATGGGTTGCAATGTTACAAAGTGTATTTTTACAGTGCAGCATTATCAGCTGAATTTATAGAAAAGTGTAATTTCTGAACATGAAGATTTTCCTCTATTTCATATGGGATGTTCTTCTCATATCAACCATCCCTTGAACAATGATTTGCTTTGCCAGCAGTTTGAATATCTATATATGCCTAAGTGTGTTGCCCCAAAAAATAGGGGATTAATCCTCCATTGTCTATATATAAGCACGGAATTAGATTAGACCTCGTGGTGGAGGGACAGTGAGCCAGGCGGTCAGAGCCACTGCAGTCCCTTACATGATATTAGTGGCTCGGTCTCCAGTCAGGTCAGTGTTGACCACTCAACGGCTCACCGGACTGACTCTAATTTTTTTTAATTATAATGGTAAATTTTATAAAACCCAAAAGCATTTAGCGGACCAAGGAAGAAAGGCTTTATTTTCATTATCATCCTCTTTAAAGAACCATTGTTTGAATTTGGAAACCCAATGCTCTGTCTTTGATATTTATGTCAGCAGCATCTTAAGCTATGGTGCAGAAATATGGGGGTTTCACAAAGCTCCTGATATAGAGAGAGTTCATTTGAATTTCTGCAAAAAAGTCCTTAGAGTATGTAAATCTACATTCAATGATTTAGTTTATTGTGAATTGGGTAGACTACCATTAATTGTTACAAGAAAGCT